CCGATCGATGCGCTCGGCGCTCCGCCTCGGCCGCGCGCGCGGGAGGGAGGGAGCGAGCGAGCGAGCGAGCCGCCGCGACGCCGGGAGCCGAGGCAGGCGAGGGCGGGAAGCGGCGGCCGGGTCGGGCCCGGGCTGGCGCTGGCGCGCGGGGGCGGTGCCGGGAAGGCGGCGGATCCCCGACCCCTCGGGCTCGCGCTCCGATCGCCCCGCCACGCCGCTCCTCGGGGCGCCCCCGGGGCGCGCGCAGGCAGCCGGGGGCGGACCCCACCGCTCTCCTCCAGGTCGCTTTGCGGGACGGTCGGAGCCTGCAGCCTCCCCGCCCCTTATTTTGTTTTGACACGGGGTCGCTCTGTGTCGCCCGGGCTGGCCTTCTGCCCGGGTACCACAAGCACAGCTGGCCTGTAAGAAGTGCCCTCGCTCCACAGGACAGATCCGAGGAGACGTGAGGTAGAAGGCGTCCGAGCATCCGGCTAACATCCGCAGAGTTCAGCAGGGAAGCCAATAAGCATGCATGCCCGGAGACTGCAAGGATACACCGTCTAGAAAATCCCATCGGCCGAGGCCCGCAGAGCCAGGGCCTGTGCCGGCCCAGTGCCTACGCACTCACCAGGGTCTGGCGGCACAGCCTCACCAGCCACCGCGGAGCTGTTACCCAAGGCTCTCAAGCGCTGTCAGCCAGGCAAGCTGTCACTCTTGTGCGCCCTTGCCTCCCCCCCGCCCCCCCAGCACCAGGTGGGAGGCCCAGGAAACAAGGGAAGACAGGAAAGAAAAGAGTGTGCCTACTCCCTGTCAAGGAACTGCTCAATGTTTTGCACATATCGTATTTAATTATCACAGCCCCCTCACCAGTTAGAAGCATCTCCACTATGTTACACATGAAGAAAGAAATTGTGAAGGAGAGGAAGAAAGGGATTCCACACTGACACTGCTAAGCTGAAGGCTCCCAACTCCGAGCCACTCAGTCTGCCTTGGGCTCCCCTGCGGCTCACATTCCAAAAACCATAAAGGCAAACTTCTAAAATCCTGTGCTTATTTGCTACTCTACCTTTTTCCTTCTCTCAAGTGTTCCGCCTTCTTTCTTCGGTGCATTCACGTTGACTCCTGGCTGCTCTTTGAAGAGGGGAGGCTGGCTTCTTCCTCTGAGACTCCTCTCCCCATCCAGCACTGCCAATGGCCAGTGTCTGCTCAACCACCGCCTTTAAGTCTTCTTCAACGTCTGATTTTTTTCTTAAGTGCGATCTTCCTTAAAGAACATCTTTGGTACTGCAGCTTGCCCTCAGTCCCTGAATACGACTCGTAGTTTTCTCCAGAACATTTAACCTATCTTAGTGTTTTATTTTAATTTCCCTTGCTTTTTTGTTTTGTTTTGAGACAGGGTCCCTATGTAGAGGAGGCTGGCCTCAAACTCACAGGGCTCCTCCTGTCCCCCCTCCCCCCACTGCTGGGATTAAAGGCTTATGGCAGTATGCCTGGCTCTTTTTTGATTTTCTTAACACTTGTATTTTCCCCACCAAAGAATGAACTCCATGAGAGTGAGGATTCTGGCTTGTTGTAGATTGCTAAAGTTCTAGCGCCTATAACAGTCCCCACACAAGTAAGACATTCAGTAAAGATGCGAAATGCTGAATGAACCATCTAGCCAGCCTCTTTATGAGCCCTGACACTAAATCCTTACTTAGAGTTCCTTAAACCTGTCAGTGTCTGCCTTTATCATCTTCGGCAATCGGCTTTCATGCTCACTGAGGTC